TCGAATTTGAGCGGAAGGAGGAGGCTCTTTTTTTCTGGCTCGTATTTAGTAATCAGTTTAAGACGTGTTTCGCAACAAACAGACGTGTAATGCAAACACGTGCCCCATTGACAAGATTGTTAAGGGGACCTATATATTCTGATAAATGCGTGTCTACCCTTAGGATGTTTCCAACCGAAGGCTCCGCCTCTCCGGCAGACACATGCCAATTGTTCACGGAAATATGTAGGTACATTTCGGTGGATGGGTGGCTAATGAGGCACCCGTAAAGCCTCTTATCTCCGCATTTATTGGCCTGTCGGAACCGCAAATAATTGTGATCTATGGCATCGAACGAGTGCGAGTTCATATTAATAATAATAACAACACTGAGCTCGCTACTTAGCTCTATTCATAATTTTTTCGATTTGTGCTCTTTTTTATCTGCATTTCTGGTCGTTGAATTAGGGTCGTGTGCAAATCGGACTCCCATACGGCACCCTATTCATGGTAATATGTACAGTGTACACATATATTACCTTTGTGTATTCAAACCCCGGGAAGAGCGAGTAAAAACATGGCAAACGAGTGAAAATGGCTAAGAAAGAGCTAAGCGTAAACATGTTACCCCAGGGCTTTTTAAATTATGTGCTAATAAATTGGTATATTTCTTCATAGACTTCCTCCCATGGGATATTATGATGCTGATGCTCAAAAGAGATATGTGTATACACGCGCGTTTATAATTCCATGTTGTTTGCTTTGCCAAAGGCATCTAAACGTCGCGTTAAAGTAATTTGCGAAAGGATTATTCAAAAAAAAAAAGATGGTAGACTCAAAAACGACATTGAGTGTTACTACATTTTCATAATTTGATGAATGAATGTCAAATTGCGATAGCCATTAACGTATAATTTATTATTTATTTAAACGTTGCGTATGCGTAATATGCGAAAGAATTATAACAAGAAAATAGAAGGTGCATTCAATTGAGATTTACGCTATTTTCATAATTTTATAAAATTATGATAGCCATACAATCTATTTTTGGAATATTATGTTGCTGATGCCCAGGAAAAAGAAGTTGCATTAAAAAACGACATTGTGTTTTATATTACTTTAATAATTTCATAAAATTTTAATAACCATACAATTTGTTATTGGGTTATTATGTTGCTGATGCGCTAATAATTTCACGCACACGTTGCGTATGCGTAATAAGCGAAAGAATTGTGTCAAGAAAATGGAAATTGCATTCAAAAAACGACATTCAGTTTTAAACCATCTTAATAATTTAATAAAATTTTGATAACCATACAATTTATTTTTGGAATATTATGTTGCTGATGCTTAAAAGTGATATGAGTGAACAAGCGCGTTTATAATTTTACGTTAAACGTTGCGATGCGTAATATGCGAAAGAATTATGACAAGAAAATAGAAGGTCCATTAAAAACCCTGCATTCAGTTTTACACCCTTTTTGTAATTTGATGAATATTTTACAAATTACGACAGCAATTAGCATACAATGCAAGCAAAGAAATCTGAAAAGAAAGCAAAGTTAGAGCGAATAAAGATAAATGATTATACGTGCGTAATTAAGAGACTCAGCTCTGCGTAATTAATTCGGCCATCGTCTCTCTTTTCCCAAGAGGTTTGATCTGTCAGGAAAATATGTTCAATTTAATTAGGTACAAGTACCTTCTACTTGATGTTGATTAATGAACTGGTTTGTCCATGTTTCCTAGAAAACTCACTGGTGCATTTTAATTAGACGCGAAAAATGAGGAAAAAATTTTTCTCAAAATTCGACAATAATTGAATTTTTAAAGCTCATATATGTCTGCATGTGCCGACACACTTCTTATTAGCTTACATACATACTTCTTAAATTAGATTTATTACCTTCGTCAGGAACGTGCCTGTATTGATGGATTAGACACTCAGCTGGCAGGTGAATATTATGCTATAGAAAAGTTAATTTTCTTTGGAACTTGCAAACATTAAAAGTTTTCCTTCGAATATTAAGTTGAGAGAAGTTTCCCTGGTGGGAAAAATTGGCGGTAACGTGTTAATAGCATCTCCCTGGACACAAGCAAAACCACTTAGCAATAATAGATCGATTCCATGGGGATATAAATTTAGCTACACAGAGAAAATTATCACGTTTAAAAATTCACAGCACAGCACTGAGAATAAGTTTTACTTATTGAGTTAATATCAAAACTCGTTATTTGATTAAATATGCGATGAAATGTCCAGTTTGCGTTTAATAAGCTATTAGCTAATGTGGTCCCAATTCCCTTATATATTACCAATATTAATTGTTTTTATATATTTCTTTATTTGTAATTTGAAATAATACTTTATAGTGGATAAAATCCATTAAATTGCAAACATTTTTGAGCCCGAGACTCAAGTCGGATCAAACAAAAAGTTTGTTTTTTTGTTGCTGTAAACAATTAAAAATGTATCCAATATCAATATTTCTTCATCTAAAAAAAAGGATCTTAATTAAAAAATAATCAATCAATTTGAGTCCAATTTAATCGAATAATTTTCTCTATGTAAAATACCAGAATTAGCAAGACAAAGTTTTGGTAGTCGCTTTTCTTGATTAGAGAGTTTATGACTGATGCAGAACACGCGTTTAGTTTAAAATATACTGTAGTCAGAACGGCAAACTGCAAACTCATTTCATTAACTCAGGAAAGATGTTCAAAGAAGCCGGATTTAAATATGGTATTTATGCTTTTAGTGAAGATATATGTTAACCTTTTAACACAAAATTAAATGGCAGAGAAAGCGTTCTTCTGTTGGTGTGAAAACAAGAAGCTTTTATACAGAACATAAAACACAGAGCAATTATTCCGTTTATCGTATTAATGTGTTGTTGCGATTAATTAAGCTTATCCTGGCAGAAAAGTGATGAATAAGATTATTGAATATTTACCTGACGCCAATGCAATCAAATTAAAAATTAAATATTTTTCTTATTGTTTGGCCGGAAAAATTGAATTTTGTGTACAATACGTTTTATTTTTGTCAACGATGATTATCTTCTGATTTCATAAATGAATAGGGGTTGCCTTGGTGTCAGGGCCTTGGTGACACCTTGCTCAAATTACATTGGCTTAATTATACCTGCTGCTATTAAATAAGAGGGTATTCTGTGTTCTGCCAAAAGTATTTAACAGGAAGTGGATATGCCCATTTTAATTAATGGATATTTTAAAAGTCTTTCACATATACATAATTATAACATTTTCTCCTTTTATGCCACACTCATTGACTTTACGAAAAATACTCTTAATTACCAAAGGAAAAAAGAACATATCATGTGCGCTATTTAAACCATTTGAGTTCTCCTTTGGATTTTTAAAAACGTTCCTTTTCAACACTTTGCCAAATTTGTTTGTTATTTATATAATAATAAATTATTATGTCGAAAGCTTTAAATTCAATTGTTCGCTGAAAATTAAATGATATTGAGAACCTAGTGCAAGGAAATGGGTGCGTAGGTGAGCGAGTGGGTGGGCAAGGGGCATCCAGCTACCTCGATAAGTTCAGGATAATACATATACGTACATGTTCGTATGTTCGCTGTTTTCCAGGAGGCTTAAGCCCTTGCCAAGGAGCATATGCTGGCTGTTTGTCTTTGGGATGCGACATTCATGCATAATTAATCACTCTGTGACGCCGCCGGGAGTTGAATTGTGTCTTGTCGTGTTTTATATGCCAGTTGACATGGCCGTGCTTTTTTATCACTGCCACAGAAGCCTAGCCGCTATATTTATCTTTTTTACTCGGGACACCCGGACCTCTGTCGCTGCAATCTGGCGTCATAAACGATTCGGTGCGAGCCACGTTAACAGGACGAGCAAAAAAGGAGAGGAAAGGACCAAGGAGGTGAAAAGCTCGTGCCGGTAAAACGATGTTAATGTCAAGTAGATCCCCAAGCACGTCTTCCTGCGATAATTGTTGACGTAAAGCATGCCGAAGAGCAACAGTAATGCAGACAGACAGACACATGTCCACAAGGAGAAACGAAAGCTTAAGGTTTAAATCTTACATTAAATAATAATTTAAAATATTTTTTACATTAGTGGAAAAAAAACGTATAACATTTTCCAATCATATTGTAGGATTTTTACATATGCTATATAAGTTTTAGCAAAATAAAATCGAGCCATGAAGATCTTTCCTGTAGTCAAGGGACCATTTTTTAAGTCTATAATAATGGAGTATTACAAATTGCATATATTATTTTTTGCAGTGTCCTGAAACATGGTAAGTGACATGCTGAAAATCGAGCCCATTAGCGCGGAAATTTCTCGTGGTGGCCACTGTACATAATTGAAATAAATATCAGAGTCCTTGGGTGGGTCGACATTTTTGAGGTGGCACTTTATTGAAATAGGTTTGTTTGCTTATTTGAAGGCAAACACGAACAAAGTGGCTGGAAGCTCTTGTACTGGGAATTGATTTAAATGGAAATATGTACATTGAAATAATACGCGGCATTTGGTGACTTCGGCAGTGTGAAAGCCAGACTAAGTGCTGCGGAAAAAGAGGAAAACACAAAGTGTTGAGTGGTTGATGCTGAAATGTAAGAAGGCATTTCTCAAATTAATGCGCACAACAGCGGGGCGGAAAAATTAAGCAAATCACGTAATTTTTATTTCGCCGTGTTCAGAAGTCAAGACGACACGGTTTTTGTTTCAAGCGGATGCTTTCCGGTGGGTGGGCCTATATGCAAAATCCTATGTTTTTAGCCCTCTTTTATTGCAAACACGCGCGTAAGGGTGCCGTTAAAATTGCGACGGTACTTTCTGAATTTTGGTTTTCATTTTTGCATTTTTCATGGACTTATGATTTATGAATTTTATTTTCTTAACACTTTTTTATTTGCCACCCATTTTCTTGCGCATTTCAAAAACCGCGCCCTCTTTGCAACCCTGTGCTCGCTATCGATTGCCCACGCGCACGCGCACAACTATCGATAGTCGATGACAAACAGCTGTGTACCTATACTTATCCAATATGGCTGCAAGTAAAAAAATTGTAACGCTGTGAAAAATTGCAACTCAAACTGCATTTTCCGCTTGAAAATCTGTTCAAAAAGTGCCAGGAATGTGAAATTGTGCAAGGCGAAGTGGAAAACTTCCGGAAAAACGAAAGCGCGCAAAGAAATCGACGAGAAAACGCGAAAAACGAAAAAGTCGCCGGGTGCCCCGCCAAAAAAAGAAGACTCCCCCGCCTCTTGAAAAAAAAGAAACAATTCTCTGTGGGAAAAAGGAAGCGAGTAAAAATAAATAAAAACCTGCAATGGAAGCCGACATAACGCCCCTGGCGGAAACCAACGGAGAGCAGCGGGAAAATCCGCAGGAAAGTGCTGCGAACGAGAATGCGGAGCAACAGGAGCGACCGGATTTGGCCAAATCCCTGGATTCCGCCGAAGATGGCGTCTCCGGAGCCGTGGGCCAGATTATAGATTACCTCGAGGTGCGACTGAAATGAAAATTAAAAACGCTTTACAGCCCTCACTAAAAATCATTCCTTATATTTTACTTATTTTCCAGGACGATGCTGGCGCTGCAAATGCGGATCAGGACGCGGAAATGGGCGAGGCCGAGTATCTGGATGGCGAGATGCCGCCGGAGGAGGAAACTGAGCCCCAGAAAGCCAATGAAAGTGGCCAGGAAGTGAGCAATAAAACGGTCGAAGAGGAAACTGCAGGCGAGGAGGAAGTCTCGAAGGAAAAAAGCGGAGGAGAAGGAGAAAAAGGCACTGAACAGGAGAAGGAAGCTGCTCCTCTAGATGAAGATCAAGATCTAGATGGTAAAGGCAAGTCGGCTCCAAAAGATGGAGAAGAAGCCGATCCCGAAGGTGAAGAGGCAGCTGAGAAGACCGGCGAAGAAGGCGACGAGGAGGAGGAAGAGGAAGAAGAGGATCCCACCGAGGAAACCGAGGAGGTTGACGCAGAGTTCGAGAACGCCAGCGATGCCGAGGGCGAACTAATCACCGGCGACGAACCCGGCGAAGCTGCCGACGGCGTGGCCCCCGCGCGGGAGCGCAAAAAGGAGGAGCCCGTGGACGAGAACCAGTGCCGCGTGTGCACCAGCAAGGAGGAGCTAGTCTGCCTGTTCAAGAAGCAAATCGATGCCACGCCCGCGGACATGCTGCTGGTCATCTGCCCCGGTGTCTCGATTCTGCCCAAGGACTTTATGCCGCAGTTCATTTGCACCAAGTGCATGGGCAGCCTCACCATTGCCATACAGTTGCGCAAGCAGCTGGAGGCCACGGACCAGGATCTGCGCAAGCGCCTGTCCCGCAGCAAGAACAAGGTTCGCCGGCCCCGCGGCTACGTGGTCATCGATGCACCAGTCACTGATTCCAGCGAGGATGAAGATGAACAGGACGATGAGTTCAAGGTATCGGATGTGGGCGGCACAACGAGTGCCGACAGCGATTCCGTGGACTCCGATGACAGCAGTGAGCAGCAGAAGAAGAAGGAGAAGAAGAAACCGGGCCCACGGGGACGTCCGCGAAAAAAGCCGCTTAAGCGGAACACGGACAGCGAGGGGGAACCGTCTAGCGCCCCGAAGAAGAAGTACCAGCCCACGTCGGTGGCTGCCGTGGGTCCGTTCGAGTGCCCCAAATGCGACTTGACCTTCTCGCGCAAACAATCCTACGTGCTGCACCGCAAAACGCACGAGAGGATAGAGCATGCCTGTCCCATCTGCGGCAAGAAGTTCAAGGTGGAGTGGGCCTACAAGACGCACATGCAGCGGCACGAACAGGAGCGCGCCCACTTCCGCTGCGAGCTGTGCCCCAAGATATTCCGCCTGCGGGCGGAACTGAAGCACCACATGGCCCAGCGGCACGATGAGCACGGGTTTATCTACGAGTGCAAGCGCTGCCAGCGCACCTTCCTTACGCAGCAGCGATTGCAGCGCCACCAGGCCGCCGGTTGTCAGCGGCACAAGGAGGAGGGCGGTCGCATCAAGGAGGAGACCGTACGCATCAAGCAGGAGCCGCGCATCAAGGAGGAGCGCATGGGCCACGGCTATTCGCAGGGCAGCAACAACAGCAGCATGGGCAAACGACGTCCCGGGGAGGGTCGTGATTTATTCAAGGCGGTGGCCCCACCGACCACCACCTACTGGAGCGACAGCTTCTCGGACTAAATTGAAGGTGCGGCGGCGATTCGAGGACTTCTGGTTTAATCAACGATTTTAAGTTTTCCCCTAGCTGTAGGAAGAATTCAGTGCAAATAAATCACATTTGTAATAAATACAAAATAAAATAGGCGGAAGTTTTAAATACTTGTAAACTTCGCACACTAAGTAAGTAAGCTAAAAGTAAAATAAAAGTTCGATTAATGGCAAATTGTGAGTTTCTGATTTCAGTTTGCTCCAGTTTTACGTGCGTTTTCAAGGATTTTATTATTAGTTTTTACCTCTAGCAAATGCGTTTCAGGTGAACGATATTTAATTGATATTACATTCTTCGATCGATTTGTATCTAGGTATAATAAAATCACGCACCCGAAATGCTGATATTTGATATATCGTAGTTAAAACTAATTGATATTAAAATGATTTTTTGGTAGGAACAATTTTGATGCAAATAAACTCAATATCTTAGATTGGAAATGAAATACTTTATACTGCCATTAAAACAAGAGAGAACGCTATAGTCGGGTTGGTGTCCCGACTATCTAATAATCGTAACTCAGCTAAAGGGAGTGCGAGGGAGATAGATATATAAACAATTTTGATTGCGAATAACTTTTTAATGAATGGTCCTATTTGAAAAATGTCAACAAAATTGCATTTATACTTCTCGGAAATCTTTAAAGATGTGCGCGCAGGACACATTTTAAATTCGTTAGTGGGCGATTGTGGGTTAGTCTACGAGTAACGGGTATAAAAATTATCAAATTGGAAAAGTAACCTTTAACATTTTGACCCACTAAATTGTTCAAACATTTGATTTTCATTTATGTTGCACATGGAGTTTACTATAAAGTATTAAAAGTTCGCGGGCTAAACGACCCTCGTAACACAGGGCAACGCAGCTTAGAGACCCTAAAAGGCTGCCTTTAAAGTTCTTTTAATTGGATGCTAAAGCTTTGGTGTACGAAATGGCATCATTTAATGCTTCTTTAGAGAACAATTTCGCTAGTTGGCCCTAACATGAGTGTTTAACTGCTGGGATTATGCCTGCAACCTTAACCCTGGTGGGTGGCTTTTGAGTTGAAAACAAAATGGCAGCCAACAGATGGTTAATACAAGTATGTTCATTTGGCAAAAAACATAGAGAGAGCTCTACCACAAAAATGTGGTTGCTAAACAAATGTTGTGGGGGTGAAAAGCGGCTTAATTTTGAAACAAAATAAATGTGAGTTGGGAGTAGCTTTAAAAGTTTTCGTTTTTAGCATTTTTAAGGATTTTAAACTTTCAATGGATACTAACTTTCGATTTTACCCTTTTCTTAGCCAAGTTTGTTTTTAAAAGTATTAAATAATAAATACTAAATCGAGCTAAACACTTTCTTTACTTAACTCTTAAAAGGGGTTTTTAAGAGTTTTTCCTATATTTTAAGTTTTGTTAAATCTTAAGCCAAGGATTATTTGCCCCTCCGAAATCCATTGCCCAAAAAAGTTAATTAAAATTTAGAGGAAACCGCACTGGCTCAACTTGAACGTTTATTCACAAAGCAATGGGGAATTGTTTGGGCGGGGATTCCAACTCGAATATGAATTTGCGGGAATGCTGTTGCTGGAGAAGAATGGCGTTCTTTTGTTGGTGCCCCTTAGAAGTGGTGAATGGAGTGGTAGCTGGGCAGGTGATACGAGACCGAGGATACCGGATGGTGGGCAATCAAAGGAGCGTGGGCGATGAGCGGTGCATGCGATATAATGGGGGCATGGTGCACCAAAGTCGGGGCGGCGATGTAATGCGAGTGGGTTACCAGGGGGGCGTGGTAGCCCAATCCCAAGGACAATCCCCGCTTGGCCTTCACGGAGGACTCTTGCTGCTCCTCGGCGGCGGGAGCGGGTGCGGCCAGGATGCAGGCAGCGCTGGCGATGAGCAGGAGCAACTGTTGCGTCAGAGGAATGTTTCATTAGCGTTTAACGTGTAAAAGGTAGAAAATGGGAAAAATGTTAGAAATTCTTGTGCGAAAAATAATGTTCTTCAACATTTTCTAATTATTTACTGAACTATGTGCCAAGCTTACAGTGAATTGCATTTTGTTGGTCTAAAATATGATTTATGTTCGTCGCAACTTGAAGCTGTTTCCGCGCTGGCTTTAATTCAACTAACGATGCTGGCAGTCAGAACGACTTTATTTATACCGTTTGCCAGTTAGAAACTCACTCAAAACTAAGTCAAACGCACTCATTAGGCAAAAGCTATTTAGGCCCAAAAATAAAGAAAAATCGAGCAAGACACGCATCGAGAAAAATATGCCCACATCAAGCCAAAATTGCACAAGCAAGCCAAGCGACTCAATGTAAATGTGAATGTGAGTATTCGAGTGGGTCCGAGTGTGTCCGAGTATCGAACAGAACGACGCACAGCCAGTCCACATAAATTGTTTTTTAATTCAGCAAATTATTTGGAGTACTCACTCTGGGTGTCAATTGCCACAATAATTTATCAGCAGCTGCTGTTTGTTCATCTCAATTATGTGGAGCCACCAAATGCCAAAACCATTAAAATCAATAATATCGTTCTAAGAGTTACTGTTTGAGGTGCTTTTGATATGTGTTTGCTTTTGGGAAATATTACTACACATATTTATTAAATTAATATCCAACACTCAACAGAGTATTTCATATATTGTATAACCTGACAGGTATTTCATATTTCCATTGCATTAAACAAATGGCATGTGAGCATGTGAGTTTGAGCCAGAGATTTAATAATTATTAATTATAATTCAAGTTATTTTGGTTTGATTATTGGAATATGGTTTGAGCCATTTCCTAGTTCATTATGTTAGCCACTTGCAAGCAATTGTGGCAACGCCTGAAAGGCACAAACGTATTACATTTCTCGAAGGTTGCCGCTTTGGTCCGTCATCTTGTTAATAAGGATATTAAATACGCCTGTTGGTCTTGTGACTATTTATAACAGGCAAAGTTGAACTAATATTTCGGTATGCTATTGTGTTTGGCAAATTAAATTATCAATTTAAACAGACAATTTTAAATAACTTATATTTATCAGAACACGAAATCAATGTTGCAAATTATTTATTTAATTAAAATCACAGCGTGTAATTGAAATCAACTGATTTACTCTGTCAATTTATTGTTATTTGGCTATTCGAATAATGGCCAGTGGTGAATGCAAACAAGCCTTTATTTATCCTGTCTAAAATCTATGGAATACAAAGCCAAAAGGTTTTACATGCAGCTGGGCAACCTAGGACATGACTAATGGGTGTAATAAATATTCTATCAACCTGAATTCTATTATGAATTGAAGTAAATTCAACAGATTGCAGACCATTTAGCATTTACCCAGGGGCGACAGCAACAAATGGTTGAAACTTTGTTTACCTTGGCTAATTGAAAGTGGCACTTTAAGGTAGTTCGAGGGCATCCGATAAAAGCTTAGTTGATATGAGGCATTTAATTGGCCATTGCAGACTATTTAACGGTCTCCCAGATATGTGCCACAAATGCCGCGAAGCTTAAGGATCGTTGAGTCGATTGGCCCAGCGGGATTTATATGGCCTGAGCTGTATTAGATAAGAGTCCTTCGGCTCCCTTAATAAAAAATGCGTAAAGACGCATACATACATACACATATTTGACAAGCGGAACGTTAATTAACGACTTCGCAAATGGCGGAAAAGAGGGAAACAACAGTCGCAAAGGAAATGCCTGGAGTGCCATTGCTGTTTATCTGCAGCTGTCAGATGATGGCGCCATTTTTTTTCTTCTCCTTCCTGGGGGGTGGTTAAGTGGGTGGAGGCGGTATCTTCTGTGGGTGCGCCACCTGTTTAGACATATTTTCCAAGGCCACGTGTTGGTGAATAGAAAACGACTTGGGAACTTGTTGGCAGCAGGAGGTAAAAAGATAATTCGTAGATTAAAGCTTGAATTTCTGTGAATCATTTTCTTAGATAAAAGAGTATGAGTTGATTAAAGGAAGTATGAAGTGAAGGTATATTTATCCATTTGTTCCATAAATAGTGAAAGGAAAAAAAATTCAATAATAGTTTGCTATTTATGTGGTTGAATGAGTTGGTGGAGGTGGAATCTTTTGTGGGTTCGCCACCTCATTAGACATGTGTATTTCCAAGGCCACAGAAAATAGAATAGAGAATACAAAAGGACTTAAGGAACTCGCTGGGAGCAAGAGGTAAAAACATATTTTTATTCATTAGAGCTAGAGTTTGGTTGCATCATTTCCATAGAAATCATGGAAGGGTGAATAGTTTTAAATTTGTACCATAATAAGTTTAGTTTGAAACAGTTATATAATTAATAAATACTATTTATTTCATCATTTGAACAAGCGTTATTTCTTAGTATCAAAGTTCCAAGATAAAATATAGCAAAAGAGGAAAGTTTACGAGAATTTCACTTAAAGCATCTTTCATCTCTTCAGAAGAGCTCAGTTACCTGCTTCTGATGAACTGCACAAATGTAATTACGTTGTCCATGGACTTCTGTGCCTTTGGCGCACTGCACAAAGGTGAGTTTTGCAGAAAGACACTGTAAAACATATGAAGGCGTTGGACAATATCGAATGGCCAATCGATCAACATCAAATTGCTGACAGGCATTCGTTTGACTGGCAGCTAAGTTCCAGTTTTAATGAACACCACACTGAGCAGCGGTAGTAACTCAAAAAATATGCATACTTTATGAGGCAATTCAATCGTTTGCCAAACTGGCAAAGAGCTAAGGTTGCGAAATTTGTTGCGAACAGGATTTCGATTCTGATTTAGATTCAAACGCAGATTCAGATTCGTCGGGGCCATTAGCCAAATGCAACACCTTTGACGACATGTGGACAAGTCGACTTTGATTTGGCCAACTGAGTGATCCGAAGTGGCAGTGTCATATGCTAACATTACACAGGAACACAAAATTAAACTTTGTGAAATTTCCACGAACCATTTCAAGTTTTCCATGATATTTGGGTGCTCCTAAGTAAAAGTCCCATACAAAATTATTTTCCATCACCTACAGGTTCCGCGGTATAGCTAAGAATACAATAAACCGATGTTTGCCGACATTTTGAGTTACGTGGCCTATAAATTTGGACTACCCTTTATTATTTTCGGTAGGACCTACTCTCAATACATCACGGCATTCCTTAAAAATAGTCCCCATTGTGAACCATTGCCCATGTCTTTGGAATTCGACGCCAAAGTTGAAAATCCCAAAAATGTAGAGATTTTTCTGATAGAAAAACAATTCTGAGGATTAAATCTTGAATGGAAGTAATTTTAACTATTCATTGTATCTATTGTTCATTGTATGCTTTAATTTCGGTTTAAAGCGTTTTCATGAGGACATTTTATTGGATTTATTATACTAATAAAACCGATTTTTTGATTTCATTATCTACTCCTAAATGTTGTCAAATTTTGAATAAGTCATGGCAACCTCTAGAACTAAGAAACTAAAATACGTTCACTGAACATGCATAGAGAAATGTAAATGTTTACTCCCATTCTGTAGGATGCCTTGACTTTTTTATAATTTGACAACATTTAGGACTATTTTTTAGGAATGCCGTGATGTATTGAGAGTAGGCCCTACCGAAAATAATAAAGGTTAGTCCAATTATATAGGCCACGTAATTCAAAATGTCGGCAAACATCGGTTTTTTGTATTCTTAGCTATACCGCGGAACCTGAAGGTGATGGGACTTAAGTTTGTATGGGACTTTTACTCAGGAGCACCCAATTATCATGGAAAACTTGAAATGGTTCGTGGAAATTTTTGGCTGTGTACCTGTGTTATTTTTGTACAATAAAAATGTAATAAAGATAACCAAAAAATAAATTATTAAAAACATACCCTTTTATTACCGTAAAAAATTATTTTGGTTAGAAAAAAAAATATTTTGTTTGATCACAAGCTAATTTAACTTTAAAAAGTGATCTTTTAAGTTTGAACCCGAAAAGTAAATCCAAGCTTGTCGTAGCTTGAGCTAATATTTTTTATATTCTTTATATGTAGTCTTCACATACTTTCAATCAAAAATATAAAATGAAGCATCCGAATTTTTAATAAAATAGTCAGTCAAGTATGCAGTTCTATTACAAAATAAATGCCTGTGTATTTCAAAACCAGCACTTGTATCGATTCGGATTTCTCCGAATCAAGTGCGTTGCCAGTTAATTGCCCACAACGCCCAGGTAGCTTTGATTTTTGAATCACAGGTGGACATTTTGTGGACAGGTGTGTTCAGATCTACTTTTGCCACTGAAAATTGCATTTCGTTTTGTTAATTATGCTGCACAGTTGCAGTGGTCGTTCGCATGGTATTTCGGCACCACATGTCCATCATTAGGCAATACGCAGAGAAAACTGGATGCCGAAAAGCTTAGATCTTTGACAGTCGTCTGCATTGTTTTCAAACCAACAAGGGAGTTATAATGACAGGTTGTGTGGGTCCGAATGGTCGAATGGGTATAAGACCCCCAAAAATCTAATTTTGTGAAAATTAAACGAAATTTTTGTGTTACCGCCAACCGGTGGGCAATGATTAAAGCTTAAAGCAGGCACAGAGCGAAAAACATTTAGTAATTAATGTATAGGGAATTGTATCGAAACAAGATTAATCTATTTGTTTTATCACCTTAATCCTTTCAAAATGTTTTTTGAATTTTTCTTTCGATTCCTTTTTTTTAGTTAAATATTTAAAAGTCATTAAACAACAGTCAATCTGAAAAGTATACTTGGTATCATAATTTCTCTCAGTGGAATATTGATTCTAGTTTGTAATTACTGGGCATAACAACATAAAATAACAGGAATTTTCAGGCTGCAGTGATGTAGAACACCAATATTTACATGGGCCAAACCGCTTTGCATCGTCCGATTCCATTTAATTATTCCGGTTTGAAGGACTAAAGCCTAACCATAAATCATTGAAGGACATTCGGACATTTACATTGGCCACTCGTTTTGCAACATCGCTCTCGATATTTTGCTACTACACTCAAAATAAATTTAACCCTAAATTTTAGAAAATCGCCATTAAAATTTCTTTTTTCTAAATACAAGAAAGTTATTTCTAAATCTAAGGAAATTTTTCTTAAGTCAAGAAAGTTTTCCTTAAATCCAGGAAGTTTTTCTTAAATGTAGAAAATGGTTACCATGAACTAAAATCACCCTAAAATCTAGAAAAAATGCCCTTAAAATTAGAAATTATTTTCTGAAAAATAGAAAGGTAAACGAAAATAATAAAATATTTTGGCAACACCTTTTCTAAAAATGAGTGCCCTAACCCTTAAATTAAGCTAACCCTAAATAATAGAAACATATTCTAAAAAGTAGAAAGTTTTTCTAAAAAATAGAAATAGTTGTTTTCACATGCTCTGGCACACCAAAATGTTCAATGCCAGAACTTGTCAGCTCCCGGGCGGCTGTACTCGTAGCGCAGACGGCTAAAGCACGTCGTTAGAAATCGAATCGACCCTGGTTCGAGTCCCAGAGCAAACTATTTTTTACCTTTTTTTAAAAGTTTTTTTTTATTTTTTTTGTATTTTTTTTTTAATTTGTTTTTGTACTCTTTTTTATTCCTTTTTTTTGATGGCAAGCGGTAAACCGAAAATAATTTGGTTTATATTTATACTATACACTACACATAATATAAATTGCGATAGCATAAATATATACATATGTATGTATGTATGTAAATAAGTAAAACGCGAATGGTCAAAATTATGCAATTAGTATTCAAAATATTAACTAATCATAATTTCTACATTCCCAATCTTCCGCAGTCCCGTAGTCCACATTTACAACCACATTTGGCTTTGGTTAGATAAGAAATCCAAGCGCAAATACATAATAATAAATACATAACCTTTAACATTCACAATATACAAGACACACAACGCCTGCATATGTATATAGGGAGGAGTACATAATATAAACGAATATACAAAAAAAAATCATGATTGAACATGTTTTTTTGTTTTGTTTTTAATTTCTATTTTTTAGGAAAATTTCCTACTTTTTAGAAATTTTTGCCCTTAAATTTAGTAAAATTACCCTAAAATTTAGAAATATGACGTCAAAAAAAATCAAAAATATAGAAAAATGTGACCCTAAAATTTAGGGCGAGCTTGTCTTGAAGACAAAAGTAGGGCGATTTCCTTGACTTTAGGGTTAATTTTATTTTGAGTGTACATGTCCATAATTATGCAATGGCATAGAAACGGATATTTTTGATAGGTTGCTTTGTTCTGAAAACCAAACGAGGGAGTTATTTTGGAATGTTGTGTGCATCTGAATGGTGCCTTAAAAGAAATCCTAAAATTATTCTAAGTATGGGGTTTGAAAGATAAAGAGTGTATCTGTAAAAAACTTTAACATCGAATCAAACCATGCATCCATTTGCCTCTGAGAGCTCCGCAAAGTTGGCCAATCTCAGCATTTTTCGAACTTTGAGGTCCTTTTGCTAAAAACTTTTTGGAAAACGCAGTTTAACTTGGGAATTCGTAACGAGTCCAAAAATATAGCATCCATCGAGGTAAATTTTTATTATTACTACGACACACCCAATTCAAAAATATTACTTATTTTTGTACAAAATATATTTTCCTAACAATTTTTTTTAAACATTTTTACTTAAAATCCATATAATAGAAGTTAACCTAAAAAAATATACTTATTAATAATAAGTTATTATTATATTTTCTACCCGTGCTATGATGGGCGCTTTTGTTTGTATCGTATAAGTATTAGAGATTTATTAATGGAAAGTTAATTATAATTATTATAACAAATATATTTACTATCATCATTTCCCTCTGTGTAATGATAAACCCTTTTGTTTTCAGCATCTGATTTTTAGGCCTACAACACAAATAAAGAGTAAGTACCAGGCTACAATGATGCAGGAAACCAACAGTCACATGGGTCAAACCCCCTTGCATCATTCGGTGCCATTCAACGATTCGGTTTTAAAGGACCAAGGACTAACCAGCACGGATATCGATAAGTTCGTCCAGCTATGGAAGCAATACCAGATGAAGAACATGTCCGCCCAGGTGGACGAGTGCCAGGGCTATTGTCAGGGGGAAATCTACAACTGGCTGCGAGCCTACAACAGCATCCATGGATATGTTTCTCTAATGGTAAGTTGGACTACCATCCCAAATAACACGAAATGCACCGTGTTGGGGGAAAACAATGGAATATTTTGACTAATGATGAGCGAGGGAAGCCAGGCCGTTTCAGAAAGGTTCCCTCAGTCTGCTGATAAATTCAAGGGACTGCTGTACCTTTGAACTTTTACCCAAGTCCAAGGAATTTGGTCCTTTCTCTGAATTAAAGTTTTTCGGTGCGCTCAGTTTAACCAGCAAAATCACAAATCAAATTAGGGGCCAGGAATCTAGGTCTTTTGTTTTTGTCTTGGTTTCTTTTAAATGGATTTTTTTTCGGCAGGGAAATAAATTATATTTGATGTGGTTAAGGCGTTAATGTGTTTTCCTTTTCATTTTAATTTCCAGACGGGGCGTTTATTATATCCTTTTTTTCAAGCGGACTTAATGTCAAATAATCTGTTTAGTAAATGCAGAGAATTTGTTTTTGGCTTACAGAGCATTTAACAACCTAATAAGAAGTTAAACTTTGGCATAAAATCCACTGAATCGTTTTGCAGTCCGAAAAGTATCTTGCTCTCACTTAAGAGAATTTAATTTAATTTTCTTACCGACAAAATAGTTGAACTTTATAAAGGGGAAGGCAGCACAAAAGTGCCATTTGGCCGATGGGAGAGAAATGGGAAATGTTGCAAAAAATGTAAATATAAAGGGCCAAGTCAGTTGCGTTGTTGCTTACGAACCGAATGAATAAAACATTCATCCCCTCCGGAATCCAAGGGGAGTGTGCAATCAATTGGAAGTATTCGAGAGCTTAGGTTTGATATAGAACACATTTTATATTGATTCTTGCCGTTCTCTTCAATCACATAGATTTGCATATTCGGGACAATAGCAAACATCTTGAACATAATGGTCCTGACCAGAAAGGAAATGGCCAAGACGCCCATAAATAATATCCTCAAGTGGTTGGCGGTGGCCGATATGTTTGTGATGCTGGAATATATACCCTACACGTCCTATCAGTACATCTATATGCGACCAGGTGAGCGGATTTGTATGTATTTAAATTTATTTATTAAAATATTTTAGGTATTCGAAATTTGAATTTCAAATTAAATCAATTAAAAATTATAATTTTATACAAACAATTCTTATTACTGGCTATTCGTTGGCCGTTTTTTCGTCCGCATATTAATTTTAAAGTATGCTTCAAACATTGAAAAACTTATGGGAATGCAATACTAAAATAAAATAATCGTTAGCAAATATTTAGAGTATAAGTATATATTAGCAGATTGTTTTCAAGAATTTAAATATATATATTTTGTTATTAATCATTTTGTAAATAATTAATACAGGTGAAAAGGATCTGAGCTACACCTGGGCCGTTTGTCTTCTGATCCACATGCACTTTACCCAAATTTTGCATACTATTTCCATTGGATTGACCGTCACCCTGGCGATTTGGCGATATGTGGCCATCAGGTGAGCAGATTCTTTGGCCAGCTAGCTATGCATGATCCTCCCTGGGACTCCCCGTCATCCATGTAGAGTTTTGGCCCCGATTCACATTCATGCTAATCCGCATCCGATTACAATTCGAATTCGAACAGACATCCGGCAATTCTGACTAACACATCAATGTGGCAACGTGGCTTTTCTTCTCTTCCCCCGTCTTTTGTTTATAGCCAAATGTTACCGTCTCTATTCCACAGACATCCTAATGGGGGCTGTGCCAACTTCCTGCTCGCACATTCCCGGGAGGCGATCCTCCTGCCCTTCGTCCTGTCGCCGATCCTCTGCCTGCCCACGTACTTTGTGTTCCAGGTGCGAGAGACATACGACGTGGACAATGTCAACTCGGAGGCCATGTACCACGTCTACTTCGATAAGAATTCGGTGCTCTACAGGTGAGTTATTATAACAATATCTTAGATTTTAAATAATTTAAAATTTAAAATTTTTTAAGACTCTGGTTTCTGTTTTTAGTGCAATATTACATTTTTGCGACTTAACGATCCATTGCAGGTTTAATTTCTGGATACATTCCGTGCTCATCAAACTTTTGCCCTGTGGCATATTGATCGTGATCAGTGCAGTGCTCATGCACGTTCTGTGCGAGGCCTCGAGACGTCGCTTGAAGCTGAGAGACTACAATAATCCCGCCAAATATGCCATCCAGCTTAATCTGAACGAATCCAAGTCCAAGAAGTTAGTATTCATTTGTTTAATTTACAGATTAAGAATTCGCGTTTTACAGTATCTGATTCTTTCTAGTAGGGTTGTTAAAACATCGATAGTGGGCTCTATCGATATTTTTGGCAATCGAAGGTGATCAGTATAGATATAATTGATACTATCGGGGAAAAAATTATGAAAAACATTAAAAAATGAACTTCTTAAAATAATTTAAAAATTACACGTAAAATTAAATTATTTTTTTGAGCGATAGTATCGATTGTGGGCCCAAACAATCGATGTTTCCTAAATTTTAGTATCAATAGTGCTATCATTTTTTGTTACCAACCATACTTTCTACAATTTTCTTTTTAGGCCACCGCGCTGTGATCGTCGAAATGATCGCACTACCCTCTTATTGGTGGCAGTACTGGTTTTGTTTCTGATCACCGAATTCCCGCAGGGATTATTGGGCCTGCTGTCCGGAGTGATGGAGAAGTGCTTCTTTGCCCACTGCTATCCGCCATTCGGGGAACTGATGGATCTGCTGGCCCTGATCAACGCAGCCGTGGGATTCGTGCTGTACGGACTGATGTCGAAACAGTTCCGAACCACCTTCCGATCGCTTTTTATGAAGCGGCACTTTGGCAGCACCGAGATGACGCGCTTGACCCGGGTCACCACGACTTGCGTTTAAATTGGTTTGAAAGGAAGGGAATCTCCAAGAAGATGTGATTATAATAGGGAGCCAAGAACGGTGACTCCTAGGGAGGCTATGGACATCAAAGATGATCCTGCCGAGCTCCAATTGAATTTTCTAAATTGTAAACTTTATAAAAGTTTCGTTATCTTGAATAACACAAATAAGGAACTGTGAGTGTGGGATTAATGTATTTACTGGCTGATGCACAATTTACTTATATAGTCCATTGGGTTTTCACTGTTGCATCGATCGGTTAAAAATTTGATTCCGCTTGTGATTTGGCTGTTTCGAAAAGTGCCACTTCATTTCCAATTAAATTACGGCTTAAGATTTGTTCGTTAACCAGTTGGTGTTTCAATTTCGTGTTATTATGTAAGTTTTCGATAGGCTAAGTCAGTACGAGCTGTACAAATACGAGACATTTACTTTCCACTAAGGTTCAAAAAGCAGAAATCCATGAATATTAAAATAGAATTGCTAAGAAGACGCATTAACTCTACGAGCCCAGAGTTGCTTTTTCTTCTTAGCTGAAAATATCACCTACTATTTTGATTATTTGTCGATAAATGGTTTTTAGCCAAGGCCAATGAATTTTACACTGGCACCTTGGGAAATCTTTATTATGTGTACTATCTAAGCTGCTTATACTATTTATATATAAGTATAAATGTAAACACTTTCAAATAAATGTTTGATGTGAATTGCAAATGAGTACAGTTTATTGCTTTCCATTACCATAAATATTTAATTCTGGCTAACAACAGCATTAACCTCCAGTGGCAGCTCGTCCGGCAGCAGTTCCCTGGATCGATTTTGGCCCAAATCGGGTTCCTCCAAATCCGCGGAGTCCAGTAGGATGCCATTGCCCTGACTGGAGATTCGCAGCAGGGATTTGAGCTTGGTGGCCTGGAATTTGTACTGCAGGAAATGGAGAATGATAAAATCTGGGCTTGAGGGGATTTTCCCCATAGAGCTTGTGCTGTGTGGAATTATCGGGTTTAATTTTGCTAGACATTGAGGCCAATTACGCGGTGGAATTTCTATTCACGTGCCATTGCATACATCCACTGGGAATTTTGGTATTTCGAACGACTTACTTCCGTGGGCAGCAAGAGGTCCTGGGCCTGGCTCATGAATCGGTTGTACTGCTCGGTGGCCAACGCCAATCGTCCAGTTTCGTAGCAAAACAGGGCAAAGTTCAGCACAACCAAAGGATTTCGTCCGCCGCCCTGTGGCCCAGTTGCCATCCGACTGGCCCTTTCGAGGGCCACGAACGCGTTCTCCATATCGTCCAGCTTACGCAAACAGACTACGAAGAGGAGGGGAAAATATTATTTCAAGACATGCACTCAAAAAATAATCTTGGCTTAAGCTCAAGAATAAAAAAAAAAAAAAAAAAATATAAATTTTAACAACTTAAAATACTACATAAATGTATACCTTTTCAAAAATAAAAAAATAATGAGTACTACATTTTTACAAACAGTATTACTGAAAAAATAAACACATTTCTTAAATTTTAAGTAATTTACTATTTTTAAATGTTTTAGCAACAACTTTTAAATCCTTCAATTTATTTCCAACGAAAAAACCGTTTATGAAACAGTAAAGAATTGTTAAAATACTAACTTTAAGTTAATTTAATAAAGTGCCTAAAATATAAGTTTAATAAAACATTTTATATTGGAGACAACTGTTGAAATAATTGTCAAAATTATATAAATTAAGTTAAAAACTTTTAGTAATGATTAGAAGAATAAGACATTGGTTAAAATAGTTTCAAAAGGTATTACATTTAAATAAAATCGTTTTTAAAATGATTTAAAGTATGGAATCGGAAATAAATCGGATTAGTGAGAATTACACATAAAAGACATTTTGTAAATCTCATTTTTTTTTAATTCTGGGTAATTGTAATTTTTTTCTAGTGTCCTAGAGGAAACTTACGGCCCAGGAGCATGAAGCACTCGGCATTATCCTTGCGCAGGTTTATGGCTGCGGCCAGCGTGTGAAAGGCACTGGCGTATTGTTCGGCTGCGGCCAAGTTAGTGTAAATAAACAAACAACAGATGCTCTTCTTAACGGAGGAAATGGCAACAAACAATGCTGGAGAACAGTAGCAAGGAATCGCCTGCGGTTCGGACTTTTCTTCGTACTTTTTAAGAAATTTATTAAAACCTCCAGCCCATAGTTTTCATTCTGTTGCTGGCCTCAAGTGAATATTTGTCCCCCGACATAGTCAACCCAACTCACACAGCTAGTGTCTCTATTGTCTCTGTTTATTCAGGTCTTTCATTAGGCCAGCTTTTAGTTTTCTTGTTACGAAATTGTATTGACCAAATCACTGTAGAAATTGCAGGCTGGCAAAATGCCAAGGTGCTGTTTATGAAACGTTAGGTGCTCAAAACTGGTCAATTGAAAGGGATATTTCAAAGTAAAAGTTTACATATGGATTCAAGTATTGGTTTGAATGTCCAGCCACAAAGGGATATTTTGTGTTTGTATTTGTGATTGCCTTTTAAATTATCCCCTCAATCTATTTTTGGTTCAATTTGTAGCACAAACCTATACGAATATTCCGAACGTTTCTTTTTTTTGCTGAATTCTTTCCCTTTGACAGTTTTCCCAAAATACAACCACATGATGAAATTTCCAATTATAAATCGGTTCCAGTCAAAATACACGTTTAAATTGCACACCAAATTGCTCATAGATCTTTAAATTTTACAGTACTCACAGGCAATGTAGATTAAACTCAGGTTGTACAGGGCATTGTAATTAAGCGGCGAGAGCCAAACGGATTTGCGCAACGAGGAAATGGCCTGGAAATTATTAAACATTTAGATGGCAAGGCAAATGAAACACCTTGTCATTCCGTTACCACAATGAATTTCTGCTTCTTGAAGAAGCACAATCCAATGTTATTCCACAGCTCGGCAATTTCCGGCTCAGCGTTTGCGATTTGGCTGTATTTGCTGAGGGCCCCATCGACATCGTTGCGCGACTGATATGAAAATATTCCCAATAAATATGATACACAAAAGGAAATCCATATCTTTCACCTGCAAAATGGCGCCGAAGGCCAAAAGTCCCTTGGGCGAGCATTTCCGTTCGATGCTGACGACTTCCGCCAGACGATCGTGTGCCTTTTGCGTTTCGTTGATTTTCAGGTACAGCACACTGATTTCAATCAGAACCTCCGAGTTCTCGGGAGTCAAGCTAAAATGAATATGAATGTGTATAAATTGTAAGGCAACGCCAGTCATTAGCTACTGACTGCAGGCAAGTTTCCAGCACATCAATGGCCTTCTGGTATTGCTTATCCTTGCGATACAACTCGGCCAAACGGACATAGCTCTCAAGTTTCCGACCCGATTGAACAGCTAATTCGAAGTAGGAGCGGGCCTCCTCCTGCTGCTGGCAGGCAAGCTCCTTTTGGCTTTGGGTTGTGGCCGCCCGAAAGAGCAGTTCGCCCAGGTAATGGTATATCTCGTGGTCCTGACGGCTGCTCCTCTGCTCCGCCTCCCTAAAGACACCCAGTGCCTGACTAAAGCGGCCCATTATGTAGCTGAAACGGGTTTGGTTTAACATTTCATAATATGCATTACATTGCACTGCATTGGTAGTGGTATACATTTAGTTCTAATTATGACCCGAAATGTATATTGCATTCAATATTAACCAACAAGAGAGAACAATATAGTCAAGTACCTTGACTATCAGCTAAAGATGGTGCGAGGGAGATGGAGATATGCATGCAGTGATTCGACTGCTTGCACTGCTTGAACTGAATTCAATTATTTGTGCTTAACATTTTAACGACTGGTCCGATTTGAAAAATTTCTTCTACATTTCGATAGGAAGGTCGTTAAGGGCGGGATGGCAGCTTGATAAAACAAATTGCGATGCGCTGGAACGTTAATAATCTGTATCGTTAGTCCCAACCTTCTAGCTTTTAAATTTTTCAACATATCAGCGTTGATACGAACGGACGGACAGGCGGACATGGCTAAACGGACATGACCTTTGACTCACGAGTAACGGCTAAATTCACCTCTAAAACTAAAATGAATTATTGATAGAACTGATACACATCTACCATAGATTGCGGTGGACGAAGCTTAACTCAATTGTCATATGTACATATCTACCCACAGTGTTCGCCCTATTTCCTTGTAGGTCTCGATGTTTCGGGGATTCAGCTCCACAGATTTTTGCAGATGCCGCAGCGCCTCGATGTGGTTGCCCTCTTCACGGTCAATTAGTCCCTGGCGAAGGGCAATCAATTAGAAGGGACACCATTCATTAGGCTCATCGCCAGCTCACCTGGACAAAGTACAGGTACTCTGGATTCAAATGGCGATTCAGCTCACGTTCGATGAGTCGGCGGCAGCGCGTGAATTCGCGGCGAGTAAAATAAATGTGGAGCAGCCAATCAATGTTGGCATCGCTGGGCATTTTGGGAGCTAATCGTGGGAATCAAAGGACAAAGACAGCGAAATAAAACCGAGAAAAACTTGGCCGATTTTCTTTCTTTCCTTCTTTTTTTACCTACCTGGTCGCACAACCTCCAGGCTTGGCAATTCAATAAGTCTGCCGTTGCAGTTGATCTGCTCCGTTCCCGGTTCGTACATGGATTATTTTGCGCTCCTTCCTGGGCAATGACAAAAAGCTCAACTTCAAAGGCAACTCGCAGATATTTAATCTCCATTTGTTGTGGCCCCCGGCAACTTTGTTGACAACAATTCGCGTTGCCATGGTTTTCAGTTTTCCATTTTCCACAACATTTAAGGGTTGGCCAAGGCGGACGGGCTGGAAATTAACTTGTTAACTGAATTAGTGCACGTTTGCCGCAGGCCAAAAATACACAAAAACGAGCTAAAGAAAATTCCGCAGTGTGTATTTTTAATTAGCTGTGACAAATATGTCGAAAACCCATTCGAAACTAATCGAAATGCAATAAAAGCAAACTAAAACTGGGTAAATAATTGCCTAGACCAAAAAAAAGGCAAGCAAGCAGATCTTGGGATAAACCAGTTCTTTGGGGTTCGCCGCGAAGTCCCGACTCCGACACCGCCTAATTACTCAATTTATTTCACACCGGCCAAAGTGGCAAAGTCTGTTGCACTCGTTTCCATTTTCGGGCCCAAAAGACATGTGATCGTGAGCTACATTTCAAACTGTTTACGCGGTCCAAGCCAAAAATCAAAAGCAATTAATGCACGAGAAATATCGTACAAGATCACAGCCAATATCTGTATCAATCGATCGATTGCGGCATCGGTGTTAGATCTTTCAAGATCTTAGATCTCCAAACGGGAAGTGCCACTTGGCGCCTTTTTCTCTAAAAGGCAACACTGCGGCTACTTGATTTGTGGCCAGAGGAAGTACCGATAACCACGAACCAAAAAGTTCGACAGCCATGATGGATTCGCTTCCAAATGGGGCCTCAAATTGCGGCAGATTAAAAACCAATTACGAACATGGCAGTTTACGAGAATACCGTGCATTTAACCATGTTTCTAACAGGGTTATTTAATAAAGTAAACACACTTGGGAACAAATTTTCTTTAAAGGAGAACATTTTTTAAAATTTAGAATTGCTTTGCTTGTAACTGCCCAAATTTCTAGAAACTTGACGGAACGAAATTGTATTATCGTACTTTTTGGCATATTTTTACTCAATATACACGTTTCTCTCTGTAGGCAAATTAGTCAATGATAATTGGAAAATAATCCCTTAATGACTTGAGCAGTTTACGTGAGCATCCATTGTTGATATTTTTGGTGAGGTTAAGATAAAATTAATTATTTTGGCCTAATGTCTTTCTCTAACATACCCCACCCCATAAATATTTTGCTAAACACTCTTTGTTCTTTGTTCTCAAAAATGGTTTCCCAAAATAAGGTTGCACATTTTACCTCACCTACCATAAATTAATACTTTTTATTTCAAATGCATACAAATTTATATAATTTTTCACATTTAAATATAGGCGCGTAGAAAAGCGGGTGTTGCCAAACCGTCGGCGGTTTTAGACCGCCAATGGAAAATTTGAGTGTTACTTTTATACACACAAATAAGTGCGCCACCTACGCCACTTGTGTGTTTTACATGAAGCTCGACAAAAGGTGTTGCAAATGTAAAAAAATATTTTACAAGATGTAAATATGGTGGTGTTTGGGGTTGTTAAGTATAAAGGCCATCTGTCGGCGAAAAGCAACAGCTATGTTTGTCAAACATCCCCACTGCGGGGCGTTTTAAATGCGTGGATCCTGGGGGGATTGGGGATAAACCCCCAAAGGAAATGTGGTATTTAAAAAGTATACAGCAACAATTTTTTTCTGTAAACCCCGCTCGCAAACTTTACTGCCCAAATTTCTAGAAACTAGCGAGAACAAAATTGAAATCCCTTACACACTTAAACAGATTACGTGATCCATTGTTGAAATTTTTGGTGAGCTTAAGAAAAATTTTATTATTCTGGCCTCTTGGGTTTCTTTTACCCCCTTTAACGAGTTGACTGGACTCAGTCCACCTAATAACATGACAAAAGATATCCATTCTAATGTGCAGCCTGCACCGTACATGATATTGTCAACCATTGTGTGAAGGATAGCTACTAATTAATTTAGACATTGCAGTCGGAACTTAAGGATACAGTAAGTTTCGGACCATGAACTCCGTTCCTAACACTTCTCACTCAGGTGGTATTACTTATGGGTGACACCACTAAGCCATTTGGTCCCTTCGCGTACATATGCAACACGATACATATTTTATTTCTTGATACTTGGTCAAGAATAGAAAGGTGGTACTGAATTACTGAATTAATTTAAACTCTGTAGTATTAATAGTGTCGAAAAGGGTGTAGGTAAATTGTAATTTAAATTGTGGCATTGAATAGGTGCGCATTATACGCAACTAGTGTATTTTACATGAAATTTTTATGTAAAATTTCGCAACGATATTTTTTAAGATATAACTGTTGACAGATCCGAAACACACCTCCAAAACAAGCACGGAAAACCAGAATCAGTTTATTTATGACTTTCGCCCTATCTTCCAGACTAGCGAAGAGGAAAGCCAAGGGAATGTCTAGAATGCTAGCTAAAAGAGATTCATATCAAGATTCATAGACTGCGGAAGTCATTGAAACGGATTAACCCGTTGGCCTTTGACAGATTGGATTGAAGGGAGAAGGAGAACTAATTATAATTAGTGCAAAGCTGATAAGAAAGGGCATTGGCCACCGAAAAGAAGGATCCCTTTTTAAAGTAGGAGCCAAATCTTCTATTTAGCGACTTACCACTGTTTTTATACCCTTGCAGAGGGTATTATGATTTCAGTCAGAAGTTTGCAACGCAGTGAAGGAGACGTTTCCGACCCCATAAAGTATATATATTCTTGATCAGCATCACTAGACGAGTCGATCTAGCCATGTCCGTCTGTCCGTCCGTCTGTCCGTCTGTCCGTCTGTCCGTCTGTCCGTCCGTCTGTCCGTCTGTCCGTCCGTCTGTCCGTCCGTTTCTACGCAAACTAGTCTCTCAGTTTTGAAGCTATCGCGATGAAACTTTCGTAAAAGTCGTATTTCTATTGCAGGTAGTATATATGTCGGAACCGACCGGATCGGACAACTATATCTTATAGCTCCCATAGGAAGGATCGAAAAAAAAACGGAAAAAAACGGAAAAAAAATTCTAGCTTCGGTGTTTTTTGAAATATTACCTTCTACTTTTGGGGATGTTATTTTTTAAATATTTCTGAATTTCGAATTAATTATTTAAAAAATCGGACTACTATATCATATAGCTGCCATAGGAACGATCGGAAAATTAATGGAAAAGTAATAGGAAATAAATTCAAGTTTCTTTGATTTTTTTTGTATTATCTTCCACTCTAGGATATGACTCTTTTTAAATATTTCCGAATTTCAATTTTAATTTGATCAAAATCGGACGACTATATCATATAGCTGCCATAGGAACAATCGGAAAATTAATGAGAAATATTAGAAAATTGAACATTTTTGCGATTTGTTAATTAATAGGAATGATCTGCAAGGGTATATAAGCTTCGGCTGGCCGAAGCTAGCTTCCTTTCTTGTTTAGTAACTAATTACTGCGCATCGGATTTTAGGTAAAAATATATTTTAAACAAGCAGTCCAAAAATTTTTTGGATTGCACACATATTTGTTTCACGCGGCATATTTTTGCAAATTCAACCTAAAATTGTATTCTGGAATATGTCAACCTTTTTTGACCTTTTTACCTATTTTTACTGGAAATATATGCTCCCAAGTAGGGAGTAATAGTGAAAATCCCAATTGTAGCCATACAACAAATCGACCCAGCCCACTTTATATAATAGTATAATTATATAATTTATTATAATTGTATAATACAAAATATAAATAAATTACACTATGCAACATCAAAAATGTACCTAAATGGATGCTATATTTTTGAATTCGTTACGAATTCCCAAGTTAAACTGCGTTTTCCTAAAAGTTCCCCGACGCAAGGATTCTTAGCCTACTGAGTTTGTCTTTCTGTTTATGGTTGATAAAATTCAAACTCTTTGCTTTGACTTAAGAAATTTACAAAAATAACCCAATGGCCAGTACATTTTCTTCGATTAGAACTGCTCCAAATAAGTGCTCTTACACGTTGAATTAAATTCCCCCTTGTTTTAATGCTTGCTGTTCTGTTTTCCCCCAGCAGCTGGTGGCTTCTCGAATGGAGGAAGGCCTAATTCAATTACAGTACCACTGTAAATATGATTTACACCCGACGACACTTCAGCCTGACCTCCGCGACGGGGAAAGCGGGTTGGAATGGCCCATCTCCGCATATCTTACGCACATATTTGTACGGCCAAAGGTCATAAAAAAGCGACTTACACAGCATACCAAACCGCCCGAAATTTCCGCCTGCAGACTGGAAGACCCATTCATGGGGATTGCAAGTGCCGCTCACGTTTGGTTTCCCCCTGAAAGGCCGTTATTCACTGGGGAAAAGCGAGGGAGACGAGTCGTAAAGTTATGTATTGTGCAGCAATACGCGACTTGGCCCAAATCCGACTTTGGCTTTGACTTTGGCCTCTTCTCCTGTGCCAATTTATGCAATGCCAGTGTCCACTTTATTATTTCAGCATGGGTTTTACGATGGTAACGCGACGGACACCTAAATATAGTCATGGCCGACTTGTTTACCAAATTGCCGTCTAGTCCTTGCCGCCACTTTCCCCCAAACGTGTTCGGCAATCTGTGCCCAGACAAAAACAGGGAAAACATTTGTATGTGCGTGAGTGACCCAAATAAGTATGCTTTGTTTCCAGCCACCACTTCCCCTTTCTCTGGGCTAAAGATCTGCGATTCAGGGGTTGGCCTCCCACATTTACGATAATATTTAATCGCAAATTGATGTTTACACGTTCGATAGTGTCTATTCTTTCAGTTATACACGAAGAAAAATGTATATATGTTACAAGTTATACCACATTTTGGATCTGACTCTATTAATATTTAACATTATGTTTAATTAAATAAAAGTAAATAATGGATGTTTCTATCGAACGATTAATAATTAATGTTTTTTTGACTGTACATAAGAAATCAGACATTAAATGCTGACACAAATGA